TCCATCAGGGATTTTTTGCTCACGACGTTGTGGGTGCATAAGCGAATGAGCGATAGCAGAAAACTTCGGATTGACTGCAAAGATGTTCTCCGCATACCGTTGCGAGCCCATGAACAAATAGCCTCCAAACATACCATTTAGCATGTCCTCATGAACTGAGTCTTGCTGAGTTTCTCTACTTTCCAAAGACGATGGACTGCTTGAGGTGGATGTGGCAATCTCAGAGTGTTGACGAACATGAATAACCAGGCGCATGTTGTCCGCAGCACACATTCCGTACTGTGCATTATTTATGCCACCTTTTGTACCACTAGAGGTTGCTAAATAGATTTCTTTGATAGATGCAGACAGATCACCTTTATTTCTTTAACTCACAGATCCAGTAGTAAGTTTCTCCTGGCTCAAAAAGCAACGACTCAGCAGAAGGCAGTGGGCTATAGCGACGTATGCCAATTATAGTTGGTTTTTGGTAGGAACTATCTTCATCACATGCGACCACAAGCGTCTTCTGAGTTTCCAAAAGACATTCCGTGTAGGACAAAGCACTAACCTGAAAAAAGCTTTATATGTAGTTGTCGCAAACTGCAATACAAGCGCAGTGAAAAAGTAACAATATGAGACCTTATGTATCTTCAAATATCTTTTTTCTGCTCCAGGACCAGGACATATCACGCGCAAAGTGTCGTCCATATTAACAGTGATTGAGTTTGAGTCTTCACCATCAGGGGAGCGGAAACTGGAATTGAACAGTGTAAATTGAGCAAGCCATGAGCACAGATCTTCCTAATCAAATCTCATTCGAGTCCCTTGCGCAATACACGCCATCGACACCGACCGTCTTCCGGTCAATGCATTCGTGGTGATTGAATCCCATTACAAAAGTAGGAAGACTTTGGCGGTCACTCCACCATCTTTTGACTATACCGACCCACACTTCATTGAGCAAATCAGTAAACTAATTAAGAAAAGCCGATAGCAGTCTGGTTTACACGAACATGAGGTAGATTCACCGTGTGGTGGTACAGAACACGGCTTATTATAGATAATTATGTATATTTCGATTATATTATTTTTTGATAGTGAACTTGCTTAGTGCAAATATCATCTCTCCATTCCTCTCGCAGAACAAAGCATGCAATTTAAATAGTGGTAGAAAATGATGTTAACATAGTCATACGATTTTCTCTAACAACAATATTCATTAAATGATGTTACCCTGATTTTTGCTAGAT